AGGGAGTTGGGATGGGGGTTGGTCAGTGAGGAGGGAGGGGCGGGTAGTTGGGAGGGAAGACGGACAGGTCAAGGAGGCAGGGATGAGGCTAGTAGGTAGGAAATGGGCACGGGGGTTGGTCAGTGAGGCGGGAGGAGCAGATAGGTGGGAGAAAAGACGGACAGGTCAAGGAGGCAGGGACAAGATGGGCTGGTTTTGGGATGAGGTCAGGGATGGGGAGATTTTGAAGCTTGTAAAGTCCACCTTGAGACCATTGGGCTGCAGGGTTCCCAGGCGGAATATGAAGTGCTGTTCCTCCAGTTTTCAGGTGGCATCGTTGTAGTGCTGGAGGAGGCCCAGGATGGACATGTCGTCCAAGGAGTGGGAGGGGGAGTTGAAGTGGTTTGCAACTGGGAGGTGTTGTCGTTTGTCGCGAACCGAGCGTAGGTGCTCCACAAAGAGGTCTCCAAACTTCCGCTTGGTTTCCCCGATGTAGAGGAGGCCATATTGGGAACAGCGGATACAATGTACCACATTAGCGGATGTGCAGGTGAACATCTGTTTAATGTGGAAAGTTTTCCTGGGGCGTGGGATGGAGGTGAGGGGGGAGGTGTAGGGGCAGGTGTAGCACCTCCTGCGGTTGCCGGGAGTGGTGGGGCTAGTGGGGAGTGTGGAGCGGACGAGGGAGTCGCGGAGGGAGCGGTCCCTCCGGAAGGCAGATAAGGGTGGGGAGGGAAATATATCCTTGGTAGTGGGGTCAGATTGCAGGTGGCGGAAGTGGCAGAGAATGATGCGTTGAAGTCGGAGGTTGATAGGGTAATATGTGAGGACAAGGGGAATTCTGTCTTTGTTGTTATTGTGGGGAGGGGGTGTGAGGGCAGAGGTGCGGGAAACGCGAGAGATGTGGTCGAGGGCGTTTTCGACCACTGTGGAGGGGGAAATTGTGGTCCTTGAAAAATGAGGACATCTGGTCTGATGTGTTAAAACAGGGCTAGGAATATGAAGTGAACATTTTTCAAGACTCTAGCCTTCTGTTATTTTTATCCTCACAGAATATGATAGTTTAATTGGGAATTGTTTTCTCCTAAATTGACCTGGCAGGTTTATGTCTGATGAAGTCAATATTATTCAAGGATTAAACACTGTATTTCCTTGAAATATTTCCCCAATTAGTTTCAGCATCAATCATCAAAGAAAATTATTTCCTGAATAATAATGTTATTCCATGGCAAAGTATTTAAGATTTGTAGATTCTGCTCATTTCTTGAGTCTAAGGTTTAGTGATGGCCTTCCCACCAGTGTTAGGCAGTATAGGAACTCCAAAGGGGTTGGATAGTTATCATCTTCTTTGTACATAGAATCTATACCACTATGTTCTTTTAATTCACCTGACAGCTTTTTATAACACATTTTCATTCAAATTTAGTGAATCTTCATTTATAGGCCTAAGAATGGCCTACAAAGAATATGTTGGATGAAATAATTATCTCCACAATTTTCTCACTTCTAAACAATTAAGTCATCTCATCCAATCTTCCTGTAGCATTGCTGTACCATACTATTTAATCTTTTCCATGCTTTCCCTATCATGTAATTCCTCATCTCGTTCCTTCCATCGATTCCAAGCCATCCCAACCTGCTCTTGCCATTCCTAACCCTTCCATTAATCTCATTGCATCCTTCATGGAAACAATCTCACCATCCAGGGATAGTAGGAACTCCAGAAGGTTCTAGACCTGAAACGTCAGCTTTCCTGCTCCTCTGATGCTGCTTGACCTACTGTGTTCATCCAGCTCTACATCTTTTTATCTCACCATCCAGGGACCTTTGTTGTTGGATTCCCCTTACGTTCCATGGTTTCTGTTCTCTGCCAATACCCCTACCTGACTGTCACCATTATCCTTTCACTGTTGGACTTGCATCACATCTTCCAGTTCTCCAAGTGCTGCATATGCCTCCATGTGCACTAGGTATTGCTCTTCAAATAAACTTACCAGCAACGTGAGGTCTTCAGCTGACTAATGAAAACACTTTGGCTGAACAAAAACTCACTAATAAAGCAAATACCTCCATTTTCTCCAGTGGCAAAGGAAATATACAAATCTAAAGAAGACTCTTTATTTGTATCATTTAAGGAGTAAATATAAAACAAAGCCTCAGTTGGATCGAAAACCTCAGTATTATTCTTGTAAAATTCCTCTGAGGAAACTTTGGGGCATGTACTGACCTGCTTAAGATAGGATTATCTTTGTCACTTCATCAGTAAATTTTTGCACATTTTCTCCAATGGCAAAGGAAACATACAAACCCAAAGAAGACTTTTTATTTGTATTATTTAAGGAATAACTATGAAACAAAGCCTCAGTGGGATCCAAAAAGCCCTCTGATCCACTGTAATTTTTTGATTTTGTGTGAGAGATTAAACTGTAAATTGACATGAAATGCTTCTACTCCAGACAAAAATGGATCAATTTAAGTGTTGAGCTAAATATAAAATATTTTGTTGGAAATAATTGGACTACAGAAGACAGCAGACCTCGGTTTACCAACAGTGGTGAAAGTTTGGTGTGACTGTATAAATGGGTTTTGCCACTATTATTCACTAATAAAACAAAAACTCCAGGAGTCTTTGATTTCAAGCAACTTAAATTCTGTCATTTTTGTCTGAAGTACTTTCCATTGCAAATCTTGTTGTCGGTCTGTGTGGCAATGGCTACAAATCATTTCTGACCAGAAAACACAATCTAAATGCGTGGATTAAAACATTTGGGTTTATATTGGAAAGCACAGGCAATTGATACCTGGTTTAACTCTCCCATTATAACAGGATGTCCACTAACTGGCATGGATTGTACTGCTAGTTTTGAGTAACGCCTTGAAATCACTCTTAACAGTCTGAAAATTGTTCCTTTTCATCAGTTTTGTTTTGTAAGCTTATGTTTTATTAAAATGCAAAACCTCCCCTGTCAATGTTGAAATTCCTTCTTTAGAGCTCCAGATGGAGGAGAGGGTGTTTATGGGCATTGGCAGTAAGCCATTTATGGACATCAAACCTAGCGAAGCAGCCATCAATGACCGATTGGTTGAGTGCGTCACAAAAGGGAAAGGTATGAGTTTAACTCAGAGGTTAGCTGAACTCTGTGAGGGACATTGTCCTTTTGCCTTTATGGCTTGAGTTCAAAACCTTCTGGCTATGCACTTTTAGGAAAAGGAGCTTTGGTAATCTCAACTTGAAAAGCATCAAAAATGCAAAAAATGAACAATTACTATCAACAGGTTCTATGAGAGGCAACAATTAGAAATTTAGAATTTTACATATTCAAATGGTGTGTTCCTCTCTGGTTATGTTTAAGGTACCTGGGAAGCTGGGAAGTGATTTCACCTCTGCCATAGCCAACCTTGATGTGATTGTTGCCACCAATAGATTCATAATTGAAAGTGTTTCAGTCCTTGCTGTTCACTATACACTGTCATAATTTAGAAAGCATACGTTCATTGAAATATAAAAAGCACAATCCTTCATTTATAATGGAAACATTACAGTATTCTGTTGCTATGACAGACTGCACTACTATGATATACTAATGGATGCTATTATTGCTTTCATAGATATCTTTTCCTTTTTTCTTAACCTAAATACAATGTCAAAAAAAAAAAATTATGGCCAAACAGAAACTTAATGTTACTAATATATGTTGCATATATTTTTTCTGTTTTCACGCAGCAGCCTTCACACATAGTGGAAGTTAATCCAAGCTTAGAATTATGTGCTTCTGTGTTTGTTTAATAATACTTAGATGTCAGATACTTCATGTGGTGTTACACAGTCATGAGACTAACATTATATACACACACTGGTCATCCTTGAGCTGCAGTGCCCATTCCCCTGTCAGCAATAATTCCCCTCTTAAGCCATGCCTTTCTATGATAGCTGTAGGATGCCGGAGAATTTGTGCTAGTGTATCTCATTATTATTCCTGTTTTGTGAAGTTGCTGGTTAGTCAAGCATCCAGTAGTTTTGTTTTTCCACTGGGTTCTGGTCATTTTTTCTTCCGGAGTAACCCACATATTGATATCAAAAATTCAACTGGTACTTAGTGAAAACAATTAATGAAACCCTTCTGCCAAATGCCACAAAATTTGTATCATGTGACTGATGTCACCTTCATGATCAACCTTTAAGTTTTTGTCATGGAGGAATGACACTGCTGCATGTCACATTTGCTTCATACTTTGACCCTTTCTTGACACAAATGGCCAAGACCAAGTTGCTGTATTTTAGTAAATACACTTGACCTCTCAAGAACGATTGTGCAAAAACTAGAGTTGCTTCCAGTCCCTTCCTTTCCAGGATCACAATGATTTATCAGTACTGAGCAACAAAAAGAATAAGTCAAACATCAACAATCAAATTGGTTACCTTCCCACTGCCACTTCACCCATCATGGAAAGATTCCAACTTTCACTAGTATCACAGCTCAGATGGTGTTGACAAATGCCACTGTCTGGGATGACTAGGACTTCAGTTAAACTCACCTAATCCTTCCTTTCTCTCTTTGGGTGCTGAGGCCTATGAAAACTTGGTGTAGTGGTTTTCCCATTGAAAGATTTTGGATTTTTGTGGAAGACCCCTCAAAATACTTAAAGTTAATCAGTAAAATTTCCATATTATCAGTTTGATCCTCCTGTCAAAAATTCTTGAACGACTTTGCTACACTTACTGAAAGATCTTGAACAATATTTAGGCAGTGCATCCAACCTTCTGCAACAACTTTACTTGACTATAGCTCTTTGAATGATTCAGTCTTTTTCCAGGGCATATTGCTTTATACCCTGCTCAGACATAACAGTTTCTGGCCTCCACAATGTTCTGAGCAAAAATGATGACGAATCCTTGCACAAATTATCTAACATTGCCTTAATACGTGGAATCTTTCCAACCCCCTTTAAAGACTAAGTAGTTATTTATTTATACCATTTTGAAGTCTAGGCAAAACCACTTTCAAAGATCTGATTATAAAATCATTGTTGACGGCTCATCAAAGATAATGCCACCCATTCTGAATGAGGTTCCAATTTACAACATTTGTAGTTTACTACATGTAATAATGATACTTACGCATTACTACCCCAGACCTATCTTGCAATAAGGATGTTCTTTTCTCCTAATCACAGCTTTACCCGCTTAATGTCTTATAATACATGAAGTGGCCGTAGCCCTAGTAGACCACAGTGTCTTATTAAAGAGAAATAACTAGCGCTGGTTTAACCTGAGTCCCCATCCTTCAGGTGAAGGGAGAGGTTGAAAAGGAGAGTCTATCACGACAATCTTAGTCAGTGCAGAACTTGAACCCATGCTTTTGGTATCACTCTGCATTGCAAACCAGCCATCGAAACCCTTATTACAGGATATTGGATGAAGGAAAATGGATTATTAAGCTCATTAGTTTTTCTTTGTGTTAATCATGTCCCGCATAAATTGTAGTTCCTCATGAATTTCCCCCTCAGAATTTGTGCCGTCTACTTTATGAACAGTTATTGCGTAAGGATTTTGATTAAGTATTTCATTGAAGATTTCCCACTAATTTGTGATCCCGGTGTATATAATGGCACACCTGCAGGAAACAATACGCTGTACTAACAAAGTATCTAATGTCAGAATGTTATTACGCATATATACTGAGTACAGAGTTACTACAGCACCTTTACAAACCTGGATTAACTCCCACTTTGGAGGATGCATATTCTTCATAGAATGAAGAACTCTGCAAGTTTGATTGCCTAATTTTTTTGTGCTGATTACATTTTTGAAACAAAGTGCATTTTCACTTTCCTTTCAAAAGTAAACTCACTAACATTATGAGTTATGTCTGTTCCAGAGGAGACCAAGAGACCAAATTCCATAGGCTCCAATGGCAGTGCGTCATCTTCAGGAAGCCAGTCTTCCTCGTCATCGTCTGGAATTGGTTCCCTCAGTATGCACATTTCCTCCTCTCCATCAACTTCAAGAAGCAATGCTGGCATCAACAACAACTGTTTTTATAATACCCAAACACGTATTGAGGAAGATGACCTGGAGAATGATCCTAGCGGAAGGCCTTTTCTCAGTGAGTGACAATATCATAAGAACTGGACAGTATAAGTAATTGTCAAGATGTTTCAGCAACATATGATGCAATCTTTTGAAAGAAGGATATTATCCTCTTGAGTAAGGCAGTATATATATTAATGCTAAGGCACCATACTGTTCTTTTAACTAGGCATCCTTGTAGGTTGTATCATGGATTGGCACACAAGAGTTTTGCCTTTATGCTGTGGTTAAGACTGTGCATTTAAATAGAACTGGCACTCACATCTGGAAAGTAGAAACAAAATGGTGTAATAAAATAAATGATCTGATTATACATCCCATCATTCCACATGAGATGTATGTACGATGTAGTAGGTGAACTCGAGCTTCTGTTTGGTTGAGCAGCAGATGACATTTATCAATTTTTAAAGAGGGAGGTAGAGATGTTTCCTATAAAGGAAGAGAATGGCAGTTGTGGAAATTACTGACCACTATGTTGATCACCACATGTTGTTCTGCAGCCAGGAGGATAGGACAGTCTAGTGTGTATGCATCTGCTTCATGATCGGTCAATAGGTGTTGTAGTTAAGCGCAGAGAGGCTGACCATTTCCAGTTTTAATCCCACCCAGATGGAAACCATTATTTCTAAGCTATACTGTTTCTATTAATCTATGGCTGAGACCTGAAAAACTGAGAACGTTGGACAGCCTGAGCATTTAGACTTGTGTTTCACTTTGTAGGAGCCAAACCAGGAGCTATTAAAGTTATCATTTTTTTCAGCAGTCTTGGGTAGTTTTGGCTTTGAGCAATAATGTAAAATGGCTGATTTTAGACCATCTTCCATTCTACATTACTCATAATTTTCATTTTCCATTGAAGTGAATAGAAATAAAAATCCAGAAGGATGGGGTGGCCAATTGGATTTTCGCCATTTTACATTATTGATCATAAAATTATCCTTGGCATCTTTTCTTATAAGATACCAAAGAATACCTTTTAAGCAGCAGTTTTTTTTTTTCTCTCCAGTTTAAAGACAGCTCACTGTTATGTTCCATTGTATAACAACCCAGCAGCATAGTGCAGGTGCTGTCATGGTGATACTTCAGGTTTATGGAATCACTAATTGACACAAATCACAAATGCAAAAAAGTGAGATTGGAAAACTGCTCACAGGTTGAATATGTTTGACAACTCCATTGCAAAGACAGTTTCTGCCTGCTTAGTGCTTTCCTACCATATGGAGCAACAGAATAGAATTTTCAGCCCAGAACCAGGTCATTCAGAGCAACTTGTCTTTGTCAGTGTTTGCCATCCAAATAATTTTAATCACAAATCTTTTTCAAATTTGTAGTGCTACTTAGTGCAATGCTGCATGACGTTTCAAACTTCACAAATGCTCATTATTTTTTGTTGGCTTTATACCTTTATGCAGTGGATATAATCAGTTTATCTCTCTATTGAAATAGGAAGTGAATTTCCACATATGGAGGTTGGGAGAGTTCTTTCTTTTTTATTGACTTGTGCAACGTGGGCATTGCTGGCTGACCGGTATCTATTGCCTGTCCCTAGTTGCATTTAAGAAGGTGGTGACAAACTGCTTTCTTGAACTGCTGCAATCAATGTGGTGTAAGTAGACCCACAGTGCCATTAGGGAGGGAATTCCATGATTTTGACACAGTGACACTGAAGCAACGATAGTATATTTCCAAGTCAGGATGGTTAGTGACTTGGAGCAGAACTTGAAGGTGGTGCTGTTCCCATGTATCTGCTGCTCTTGTCCTTTTAGATGGAAGTGGTTGTGGTTTTGGAAGGCGCTGTCAATGGAGTCTTGGTGAATTTCTGCCACACGTCTGGTAGACAGTACACATTGCTGCTACTGAGCATCGCTGGTGGAGAAAGTGGATGTTGTGGATGTGGTACCAGTCAAGGGGACTGCTTTGTCCTCGATGGTGTCAAGCTTCTTGAGTGTTGCTGGAGCTTCAATCATCCAGGCAATTGGGGAGGATTCCATCACACTCATGACTTTTACACTGTTGATTTGGACAGGCTTTGGGGAGTCAGGAGATGAGTTACTTGCTACAGTATTCCCAGCCTCTTGTAACCATTGTATTTACATGGCGTGTCCAGTTGAGTTTCTTGTCAATAGCAAACCCCAGGACGTTGATAGTGGCATATCCCATGATGGTAATGCCAGTAAATATCAAGGGGTGGCGTCTCTTTTTGGAGATAGTCTTAGCCTGGCATTTGTGTGGTATGAATGTTACTTGCCACTTGTCAGCCCATACCTGGATATTATCCAGATCTTGTTATATTTGAGCATGGACTGCTTCAGTGTCTGAGGAGTCATGAGTGTGTAGAAAATTGGCAACCATAATTAATAGTCCCATTTCTGACCTTATGTTGGACGGAATGTCATTGATGAAGCAGCAATTAATCATCTACTTTAATCTTAGTGCATGAGCCAATGAATGAATCACAAAAAAAGTGTAAACTCCAAATACGCTACTTTTCTGGGTCTTCCATAGCATGCTCTTCCAGATACCAGCAGACAAATAAAAAAATTTCCCTTCAAACTAACGGGGCCCTATTCCTTTAAATACTGAATGAGTTTGGGACAGGAGAGTAATCAGTGGAAATGGGTGATAAACATTGTCATAGTCTGTGTAGGCCTTTTTTACAGCTTGGCTAAACCTCTAGGAAGAACATGCTATGTAAAGAAATTTTACTGAACTCTCTACAAAGCAGCTTGAAAGACTGAACTGGGGATAATGGATTTTCCTCTTCATTCACAGCTGAGAGATTGGAAACGTCCTCCCAGTGTAACTCCACAGAGAGTGTTAGCGGTTTCAGTAGCTCTGAACACAGCAGTGTCTCACTGACGGGAGGAGAGATCGAGGAAGCGCTGTCTCTCTGTTCAGCATCATACAAGCCCAGTTCAGACCCATGCTCACTCTATGCACCACAGCCACTGCCAAAGGGAGAAGTGTCATTAGGAAATTTGATCAAAAGTGTAAGTATATTATCTCAGAGATAGTAGGAACTGCCGATGCTGGAGAATCTGAGATAACAAGGTGTAGAGCTGGATGAACACAGCAGGCCAAGCAGCATCAGAGGAGCAGGAAAGCTGACATTTCAAGTCTGGACCCTTCTTCAGAAGAAAAAAAAGAATTTCTGAAGAAGGTTCCAGACCCGAAACATCAGCTTTCCTGCTCCTCTGATGCTGCTTGGCCTGCTGTGTTCATCCAGCTCCACACCTTGTTATCTCAGTATATTATCTCAGGTTGATTTTGTGTATTATCTTGCCGTTTCCCGTTTAATGGATCTGAAAGGTGGCAAAACCACATTCAAAATAAAATAAATCAATGGCAATTTTATTTTTTCCCTCCGGTTTTCTACCTTCTCTCTAGAAGATGTTAACTGAGCTGGGGAAGGTTTCTTATACTTTGTTTCTTATACTTCAGACAATTGACCCGTATAAGCAGATGTCAGCAAGTTATTTAATCACAAAGGAGAGCTGAGCATGTCAATGCCATCATTACACGTTTAAAATGATGAACATTGCAATGAAATTCAGAGGATGATACCCAAGAGTGATTTTCTTTTTCAGTTGTTAGCCTAAGAAGTCAAATGTATGATCCTGATTGCTGCCTCAGCTAAGACCAGTAAACTAGCTACCATATTCTAGAGCAAACTGAAATAAAATACATTGGTATAACATAAATTTGGTTTCCTGGGGTGGCTGATTTGTTCTGTCACTCATTAATCAGTCTAATATAAGCAGACCTGGTGGACAATTTTACTACAGACTTCAGGGTGCTAAAGTCAGATTCAAATGGGATCCCAACACGTACATTTTGGAAATCAGCCAAGCATCTTCCTCCAAACTGCCCAGTTAATGGTCCGTGGACAATGTTCTCTCTCCAACCAATGATTTCAGACAGTCTCTCAATGCTGCAGGGCTGTTAGGAGGCTCTCCACAGGATGCCACAATTTTAAGTTGACCCTTCTCCAACCGTCTCAATTTTAAAATAAAGAGAAGCCATTTGCAGCTTATCCACCATTATGGAGGTGTGGTCTATGGCCTTGACTGAAGCCAGACAGTCAGGGAAGACCTCTAGGCTTACCAGTGGATTGCTGGCTCCTCGGTCAGCCACCAAAGAGTGGCCTCCAGGCAGCATCCCTGTTTCCCCTACCCTCTCCAAGTACCTGGAAGCCCATTGGAAAATTTCAGTCAGTAGGTCAGTCAGTAGATACTGGTCCACATTTAGGCCATTAATCGGGTCAATTAATGACCTGCACTTGCAAGTAGCTAGCCTTGTTATTTCCCAATCCTGCTTCACGGAAAATAGCTCAAGTGTAGGCTGGAGCCGCAGAATAGGCACATCAACCAACAGTGCAAAGTTACTCCCACTGCCCTTACTTTACGACATGTTAACCCCATCAGAGCTGAAAGTTTCACCTCCTGGTCTCTGTCAGTTTTGCAGACAGGCCTATTTGAAGATTTAGACATTAACCTACAATTAGCTGTTTAGCATTCTCTCATTAGATTTTTTTTTCATGAAATTTAGAGAAAAGGCAGTTAGTCTTCTTCAGAAGAATTGTACTGTAGTAAATCTGTAAGGTCAATGATTTGTACATTGACATTGATCTGAGTAGGTTGACAATGCTTGCAAAATGGAGCACAGGGAGTTTACCCTCAGTAGCAGTATTAATTACTCAATGCCAAAATGGTTATGATGAGCAGGGAGTGGATGTTGAAAAGGAAATGATTCATGCCTCACAGCTGTCATCCCACACATCTTACGAAGATTAAAATAAATTTCAATAGGTTAACTTGAGTGCAGTGGGTGGCGAACCTTATTACTTCTGTATTTCTGCTCTTTGTCTTTTAAACTTCTATCTGATTCATGCTGTGTTCCACCAGGCTGGAAAAACAAGGCAAGTACTTGATGGTTAAGGTCTGGAATACACTACCAGGGAGTGTGGTGGAGGTGTCTTCAATTCAAGAGAAAATTGGACTGTTATTAGAAAAGAAAGAATATGTTGAGTTACAGGGAAAAGATGGACGAATGGCTTGGAGTGAATTGCTTATTTTGAGAGCTAGTGCCTCCTTCTGTGCTATCACAGCTGTGTGATTCTGTAAAAAAAGAAAAAAACCCTGAAATCACAGTGATACATTTAGTTTCTCTCCATAAATTTGTTTTTAAGTGACACCATTTAATCATTTTTTCAAACTGAACGGAATTGAATATGATCCATTGCTTTTCAGACAGAACTCTATCATACAAAAGTCACAAACACGGTTATGCATAACAACTTTTGTGTCATGTCTGATGATTTTTTCAGTGTAATATAATTTTCCAAACACTGAGAATCTTTATGTCTAGAAGCATGAGTTTTTCCCCTAACTTGGTTCCAAATTATGTAAGGGCTGAACTTTACCAGGGAATGGCCAAGTGTTGATTTTGGTGAGTTTCCTGGAGCGCTCTCTGTGAGCTCAAGTGAGATTTCTCACACCATTCCCTGAAACTCATCTCATCACCTATACCCCTCACCTTTATAGCACCCACTCGCCAGAGCTTTCTTCCCTCCACAGGCCGAAACACTTGGCCTTGTCAAGACCTCTGGGGATTCCTGGCATCAGGATCATTATTAAAGCCCAATTGGGTACCAGGCCATGTGCTGCCAGCCAGGAATTGCTCGTTGCCCTTTACCATGCACATAGTGGGAGGGGCACCAAAAACAATTCTCTCTCAGGGCACTTGGAAGGCTTGGTTGACACTTCATTGCAAATACAACTGTACATTTGTAAGTGTATTTTTATGAAGATTCATGGGTTACCCATCCTCAGTGTCACCTCATCTGCCTATTCTTCCTCCAATGGCCTGTGTAACCTCCAGCTTAGCCATTATGCTGCACTGTACCTCTCTGTTGAAGACAGGGTTGGTGTGATTGTCAGTGACCTCCCCACGTCTATTGCAGTCTCCCCCCATGTCCTTCAATGCATGATCTTCTCCCTCACTTGTATCTTGAGTTTTCCTCCTTTACAATAATTATCCTCCTCTGCCACCCAGCATGCTCTCTCTAAATCCTACAATTGGCTTCCCAACTTCCTCATCGTAGCAAATGCTCTTGATAAGACCCCTTGACTTTTGTTGAGCTGAACACCCTTGACCAACTTGGATAAACATCCCTGATTTATGACTGGCCAGACCCCCGACTGACCTGTGTGCACCTCCTTAACTGATTTACTGTGAATTTCCAGACTGGTTGTACTGGACCTGCAGAACTGACTGTGACCCACTTCCTGGTCTTTAGACATACAGATCTCTGGACCCTGTTCATCTAAGTGATGGAGTACAAGCACCTGGACTGACAATAGATAATGCCCATGACCTATTTTGCCAGGACCCCTGACAAAAGGCTGTTTCCTTTGGTCGAACTGAGAACCCCTACCCATAGACTTTGAGATGTGGGAATTATGTGAAACAAATCCAGTGTATTTGCCTCATATGCTACTAGCACATGCTACACATGTGAGATTGGTATAGCACAGTACCTTAGAGCAGCATATCCAACTCCTTGACTAATGGCTGCTGACAACCTTGACAAGTTTTCCTGGCTTTGTATCTGCACAAAGGGACTGTGAGCTTTTAAGCTCTGGCTGAGGGGGCAAAGTGCAGAAAAGGCAAGACAGAGATGCTGTAAGCATCCAGGGAGTGCAAAATGAGTGAGTATTATGAGAGTAAGCGAGGAGCCCTGTAATATATCTTTGTCCAATCCAGCAGATGGGAGCTTGGTCTTTCTCATTTTGTGTCCTGGCAGCAACAGTACCGCAAGAGGTGCGGGCACACTCCAGTGTGGCATTGAAACTGTATTGTGAGTGGGTCAGAGATGTGCCATAAAGATGCGGTGATGCTGGTACATTGCCATGCCCATGCACATACCAACATCTTTGGACAGTCCCAGCCTGTGAAATGTTGATCAGTGCTGTTCAAGATGGAGGTCTAGAGGAATAAGCACTGAGCTGGGGTTCCCAGGTTTCATGAGGGGATTGTCACCCCAACTAGTTTCTCTCCAGCTGGAGGGAGACTGCATATCAACAAGATTTGGCAATAACAGCATGACGATGAATGCAAATAGATGGACAAACAGTCCACTCACTGCTCACCAGGGAGATTATTATCTCATTTTTCAAAACTTGATTGAAGAATTGGATTCTTTCTTCTTGATGCCATGAATCTTATTTCTGTCAATCTCACCCTATGTTCTCATCTGAGTCATCAATGCCCATGTTATTCAGGGGATAGCGAGATTCCACCTGATGTGTTTTGCCCAAAAGGTCATTTTCTGAAAAAGCCTATCAATAAAGGGAACATAGATATAAAATACTTCATTCTCAAGGTGTTTTGAAGACACTTGCATTGATACTCTTGAAAATATTTTAGCTCATTTACAAAATTGAAAGATTAACTCAACGTTTTTCCCTTTCTTGAGTTAAACATTTCTTCCTCCAATAATTTTTGACCAACTTTTTAGACCATAATTGCCTTGTGTATGTGTACATAAGTAGACATGTCTTATCACTGTGAATAAGTTTATAGATGGATTGACTGATGTTAAGTTGGATAACGTTTAGAATTCAAATTGACTGCTTTACTTTGATCCAGGATAAATCATCAGAACTGCCCGTGAACCATTCGACAGCTGTCTGACCATCTGAAGAAGCAGTATGGTAAATATTTTCACCTAAGATGTCAGCATTAACTTTACGACTAAAAGAACAAAGAAGCATTTGCGTGTGCATGTGTGTATCTTCTTAAGAGATAAGACTACATATTTTAAGATTAGGGAAACACTATAGTCAGAAAAATGACTGTTATGTTTAGTAATAATTATTGGCAAAATCAACCTGACTTTGAGATGCAGCATATGGATATAACAACAGCTCAGAAACAAATAGAACAAGACCTCACCTTCAAAATCCAGCACTCAGTACCAGACTTTACAGCACAAGGTGTGTCCATGGCTGTCATGTCTTTCACAAAGGCAGCCAACATTTTCAGATCAATGGACAAAAACTGGCACCTCCTGTAGTTCTCCCCCATCAGCATAGCGCCCAGTTCTCAGTTCTTTATCACTGTTCATTCTCACCCTCTGTGCCACTCCCAACTCCAAACTGCTGCTGTTTCAGCACACTGAAATTTGTTGCCCCATCTTTTCAGCAGCAACTCTGTTTATTTTACCTGATGTGGAAATTCCTGCTGGCAGGCATTTGAGCTCCTCAAGTTTAGCCAGAACCTAAAGCAGCATTGAGAGGAAAAGCAAACGATTGTTAGCTGGATTTAGCAAAGACGGGTGGGGGTGGGGGTCAACATTAGGTGATAAGTGCCAGTGTAACTTTCAGGAGGACAAAGGTGTAAAGTGGTGCTGGGGAGAAAAGTGTGCCAGTCTGAGTGGGGTAATAGGATGAATGGGGGGGAGGAAGGAGATGGTGACAGTGTAGAGAAGACAAGCTATTTGTACAAACTGAAATGTTAGGCCAAGTCCCCGTATGATCTCTGATTGGGTAAATAGAGAAGAGAACTTGCTTCTCGCCAATCACATAAACAAGGTTTAAAATGTGCAATAATCCTAATAATTCTTCTCAAGGACAATTAGGGATGGGCAAGAAATGCTGGCCAGCCAGCGACGCCCACATCCCACAAATGAATAGGAAAAAAAAATTGCTAACTGAGAGTCCCAGTAAAGACCAGGACATTAGAGTACACTTTCTCTCAAAGAGAGAAATTCCCAGCAATTTTTGCTACAATCATTTAATTAAAAGTTGAAATGTTGAATGCATTAGTTGCTTCACCTTTGACAGACACATCCTTCATCATCTTTTCTATGCAACTATTTGACTGGTAGGTATTTTTGAGTTGTTAGCTTTTTTGAGTCTGTCAGTTCTTAAAAAAAAAAATCTAATTCGGCAAGAATGGAGGAGGAAGGGAAAGAACAAAGTGAGCAGAAGCAAGATCAGCCTACTGTTGAAAGACTGACTCACAGTTGTACTGCAGCTGACACCACGGCTGATGTTGCCAAAGATTGAGGGACTGGCCATTGTCCAGCTCTTTTTTTTGTTGAATATTTAGTACAGAGCTCACAATTCTAAAGGGGACAAGTGCAAAGTACAATACTTGAAAAGGTGAAATCAAAAATTCATTTAGGTTTTAGCTCAGCAATGATCAAACGTCAAGCTGAAACAATTCTTATTTAAGGCAGATATTTCCTTAAACAAGTAGTATGCACACAATTGTTAAAATTGCACTAGTTTGGACTCAAGCAGTACTTTACTTATTAAGACATATAATATCATTGCTCAACTATTCCAGCAGTTCACCAAGTATGCTTTTATGTGAAAAATGATGTTATCTTGTCATTTAATTGCCATTGTCTGTTCACATGGGTTATAACATTGTTTGGATTATTGTAATACAACAATAACATTGACTGTTTAGAAACACATAGTATTGGAGGTAAAATAGCCCTATACTTTGTAATGTGCCCTACATTTTAAAAAATGGATGATACTTTGCTTCCGCTTTATCTTGTATCTTCTGATGCACATATTCTAATGAATTCTGTAGAATACTTTGGAAAGCTAGTAGTGAGATAAACTATTTGAGGTAATAATGTCCTGAGTTATGCATCAGTGCATTTGATGTCTGTACTCCCCAATGGTTTTCTGTCTGATATATGTGGGTAGAGTGCTGCTACCATTGAGCTTTTTCTTTTGACTGGGTCTGAAAGCCTAACTGTATTTTGTAATGGTAGCGGAACTACTACTGGTGAACCTTAATACGAAGTGCCTCTTGTCTTAATAAGATGTAGTTTATTGCGTGATAGCAGTTAGTTCAAGTTACGCTAGTTAGATTAGCATTGTTACCAAAACTATGAGGAGACCTGTGGATATAGATCTCCACTCTGTAAAATCCTAAAATGTCCTGCCTCATCTCCACCCAAGCCTGTGTGAAAACATCAGATTGGATGGAGCTTAATGTAACCTCCAACTTGAGCCCTTTCAGAACCATTGCCTTGTACCTCACTGTCTCTTTCTAATGTGTGGAAAATTGAGCAAATCGATCAACTCATATCCTCTCTCATGATGTTTGGATTTTAAAATTTGAAACTGACCCCTGAGCAGCTCTCATGTGACACAAGTTAAACTGAACCCATTCTGAGCAGGACCCATTGAAGATTTTGTGAAACACATCAAGTAAAGACAAACATGCTGCCCATTAATTAGAACCTGTTCCATGTTGTATACTTGTGTCAATATTGTTGTGTTGAATGTAAACCATTAAGCCTTGCAGAAACCCTGCCTCTGCCCTCTGGTGGGTGAGAGTGAATTGTTAATTCACCCGTAACCCATTTCCACAGTGGTACGGTGGCTCAGTGGTTAGCACTGCTGCCTCACAGCACCAGGGACCTGGGCTTGATTCCACCCTCAGGTGACTCTCCGTGTGGGTTTTCTCTCACAGTCCAAAGGTTAGGTGGATTGGCCAGGGGGAATGCAGGGTTACAGGGATAGGGTAGAGGGCTGGGTCTGGGTGGGAAGCTCTTCAGAGGGTTGGTGTGGACTCAATGGCCTGCTTCCACACTATAGGGATCATCCAAGTAAAATTCAAAGAACCACAGCATCGTCACATTTGGGGAAAATACCAAAGATTCAGCCATTTTTCCTTTGCCTGTAGTTTGTAGATTTATTCCTCAATTTTGACAGATGAGAGACACTAAAGGCGCTATAAGGCACTCTGCAAACATCTTTTAACTTATTGTTCACTGGCATTCACATGCTTCTGAAGATGAAGGAATTCGGTTGTACACATGAGAAGATGTGATTGTTCTTCTTGCAACAAGAAAGTGAAGGGAGAACGAATAATAGCATTCAAATTGTTTTGGGCAGAAACTGTTTCTATTGATAGACAACTTGACAACCACAAAACAATGATATAAGATGGTTGGCCAAAAAAAAGCAGGGAGGGAAAGAGAAGAGTGTTTACCCAGTGATTTGCAATGCATAGACAGAAAAGGAGGCATGTTCAATAGAAAGTTTCTAAAAAGAAGTAGACACATACATAAAAAGAGAGAAAAAGAATGCCCTATGAAAGGGAAAATGCTGACAAGTCTGACTAATTGGATAGCTCGTTCAAAGAACTGGCATGGGTACAATGGGAAAATGATCTCCTTCAATATTATATGATCTAATGATTCTACATTCAATTTGAATAGTCTGTATGGATAGCAAGGTGAAGATTCATGCTTTCTCAATGGAGGAGGTGCACCGTAAGTGGAGTTTGGTATATGACAACAATGTAGTTTTCTGAAAAAGGGGGATCGATGAATTTACCCTCAACTTTATCGTTGAGTGTGAGGTATCCATGCGCATCAGAATGTCATCCTCATCTATCCATACTTGTGCCAGTTGATGCATTCCATTGTTTAAGCTATACTCATTTTAGTCAAAAGGAGGGTTTTGAATTCATATCTGGAAGAGACTGTAGCGTAAATATCATGCAGTGATGGTGTGTAATTAGTATATAATTTTAATCTCATTGTTTTCCCAGGCCTGAGAATCAATGAACCATTGGTGAACGAGGCTCATTGTTGGTGTTCCAATGGCTTCTGAGCTCTGAAATGTGATTCCAGTTCACATTGCAACAAGCTGCAGATTTGCAAGAGGTTGCCATGCCATCTGGGCTTAGTCCTGACAGATTGTTGTTTTCACTTAACTGGAAAACAGATGCTGCTCTGTAGCAGATTTCTCTTTCGAAAAAGCCTCATTATTCTCAGGTGATTGTGACATAAGCCTCAGCCGTGGTATTTCACAAGGTCATCGCAACAAAGAGGGAACACTTCTCCCTGTGCTCAAATACTGTGAGCTTTCTGCATGTTCTCCACAATACATGAATCTGTAACATCAGCATTTGGTCATGTTTTCTTTCCCTAGTGTGGCTCCGTGAGTTTCAGAATCATAAGCTCTGGCAAAAGATGGAATTATCCACGAGTGTTGGGGAGGGGGGAGCTCATTCATCCAGGGAAATTGGACTTTGGAGAAAATAGCACTAAGAACAGGTCTAAAGGGGGAGAGCAATGTAACATATTCATTTAACTATTAAATCATATATAAGTATATTTTAATATGCATCAAAATGATCAATTAATATTAATTTGTATGTTGTACTATTGCTTTCTTAAGCATATCTATTAGCTTTAATCACGGCATTGTTGTGATGTTAGTTAGGATGTCAGTACTTAATGTTTCCCATTTTTACATCTTTATAATATTAAAAAGAACCATGGATTTTATTGATGTTAATGATCTTTTGGCCCTAGTTCGTAATGTTTTACGCTCTTCTAACATGGTCTGATCTTTAAATATGTTTTCCGAATATAATTCATGCCTCCGATCAACCACAAGTGTCTGATTAGAATGATGTAGAATTCACACCTAGTTGTACTGCTGTCTTCGGAGACTTGGTGTCAGATAACACGTATTCGGCATACATGTGATTGCATGAGTGTCCTGTACCCTCCAACTGGAACTGAAACGATGACACAATCTTTAAGACTAAAGCTTGGAATTAGTTTCCAAACTGTTTAAAAAAAATTGTGAGAAGCAATCAATTGACTGCTTACAGATCTTAAACTGGTTATGGTTATTATTTGGTGGATCACACCAAAAGCAACATATGCCACACACTGGTTATAGTCTTTCAATACTCGTCTAAATTTGACACAATCAGTTCACTCCCAGGGTATACTATACAGCTTGGCAGGATTCTCTGCTAACGTAACACAGGGTCCATTGTTCGGTTCAAATGGATTTAAATGGGAAATCAATCCAGGAGTTATTCTTCTGAAACTTCGAGGATTTTCACCCGAATTTGAGTAGGAGTCATCAAATTATGATATTGGGTACTTACCTTTTTTCTTGCATTCCAACATTGTTGGGCATAAGGATGATGGCGTTCCTGGCAAAGATGTTGCTTCGGTGATGAAGGGGCGTTTGAAGTTTTGAAGAACCTCTGAAATTAAGCATAGGATGATTATACAAGCAGCAATGCCTAAGCTCAAAGGATAGTTTTAGAAATTAGAAAAGTATTTTGAAATCATGAATGCCAGGACTTGAGGCCATTAGTCAAGCAATATTGCAGCTCGGATTTACTGCCTCCTTTTTTCAATTCTTATTTTGTTGGGTGCACCAACTTCAGCAAATTGCCTGGTCATGGAAAATCAACTGGAGGGCCAAACAAGCAACTGAGCACCAGGGTTCCACACGTGTTTACAATCTCATTTCAATGAATGCTGTGCAATACTACTCAATCATTACTCTTGATTTATGTTATTTCAAATGTCCATGAAATGTCCCTTTGTTCTTGAGTTATTTGAATCACAATATCATCTCCTGAAAAATATTCAGGTAATTGTTAATATCCTGTGGCATAATTTCCCCTAATTTTACCAAAAGGATGAGTGAAAAGCATATCATTTTGTACTCAAGTCAACTTTGTGCTAAAAGTAACAAGTAGAATCAAAGACAACCCTTAATTGCTCTCCTGCATCTTTTTCATGTAAACTAGAATTAGCATGTTAATAACTGCTGAATTTTCTGGAGTTACTGAGTAATTTCCATTCTATGCAGACTGTAACATTGTTGCTACGCAACTGAAAATGTAATAAAGGTTGAATTCAAGCAATTTGGTATTGGAAAGTGTCCCATTTGTGTTTCTCTTCGAAAATAAATCGTTCAGTTGCAAACGAACCTGGAGACAGCAGACGTTATGAGTGTTCATTGAGATTAATGGTACTGGAACATCAAATGGTCCCAGAGCTGTCGGATTCCTTCAACGCATTTGATGAAAATGCATTTGAATTAAATTGAGTTTACTAAGTTATTATGTTGAGGTAAATGCCTGAGGAATACATAAATATGTAAAAATGTTGCGTGTGGTGCAGGTGCTGCTTATCAGATGTGTTGTAATTTTCTGACCCACTTCAGAAGTAGTATGCCCCCAAAAATGGATGTTAAGCTTTAATAATCTTGTACCTCAGCAGTTAGCATTGAAGTCACAATAGGATGACACTAAAATTACTGAAAAATGAAACATTCTATCTAAGGACTGCACCTCTTTAAGGGGCTGTTGCCTCTCAATTTGGTCCAATTGGTTTTACTTAAAACGGTATAAAATTGAGTTTTTGCCCTTGTGCTACTGTTTCATAACTTTGGGACTCTTGGAGCCAATAGTTTTGAATAGTTTGAAAACAGCAGCCAAACTTAACACCACAAGGTTCTGCAAACAGAAATTAGACCATTTCTTGGTGACATTGGTTTAGGGACAAACACTGACCAAGACTGGATAACTCCACTGTCCTTCTAAAGAGTGTGATGGGTGTAAAATGATGTGTTAAGTATGCTGTTAAGATACAAAGGTAAAGGATGCAATTTTATTAAGTAGTCTGAGCATTTTCAAAAAGTGACTGTTTAGAGGTAGAGCGAACATGCGGTGTCTACTCTTTTATGTTTCAGTCCTCCTGCATATCACAGGAACCAGAGTGCACAGTCACACCCCACAACCAAATAATTTAAACTTAAAAGTTTCCTTGTAACATTTTTCTTTCATTAGAGTCCGATTGAGTCAATTTAAAATGGGATAAAAAGGAATTTTGGCCTTTGTGCCACCGTGATATTGTCTGTACCTGTGAGCCAGGAGGCTCTACCTGAAGCCCTACCTGCTTCAGAAGTGTATCAAGATATTTCTGAACAGGTTGATTAAGAAACTTTTCAACAAGAATTTGGTTATGGCAGTGGAGGTGTCCCCAGAAATGGGGGCAGGCAGTGTCTTCAAGCATACTTCGGGGCTTCTGTGATTGGTGTGTAACACATTAACTCCTTAATGAGCCACATTTTAAGTTAAATTATTAAGTTTCCTTTGAGATTTTGATCTTAGATACAGTTTCCTTTATGGGGCTGTTGCCTTTTTAATTTAATACCATTGTTTTAATTGATAAAATGAGTGTGAAAAGAGACTGCTGGGGCTCCTGATGAGTGGGAAGGAGTTATAATTCTACATTGTGTAAAGTAACCTTTTATGAACAAAAGGGATTTTCATCTACTTTTGTACTTACCTGGTTTGGAATCCAGTTAATAATGGGATCTAATGTATTCACCTGAAAGAACAGATGATTCCTCAATTTAACCTCCTCTAAAAGATAGGTCCTGCAAAAGTGCGGCACTTGCTCGCCAGTCTAGATCTCGGCTCCATGTCTCTGGATTAGAACATGAACTGAAAGCCTTCTGCTCCTGAGGCAAGAGTGCCATTTGCTTTACTTTGTTTTAAGCCAGTGTCACCTGTGCATTGAGATACTGGTCTGAATTAGCTCTGGGATGTGGGTGTCTGCAGATGCAGTGTCCCTGAAATTACTTGCCTCTTCTCCATACATGAGGCTCTGTTCTCGTGTTTTATGACTCTTTGACTTGTTGATTCCAGAGATAGTGGTTTCTTGATGCTCAAGCCTCTGCTGTTGGGAAGGAATCACAATCTACAAGGAGAATTAGGTGACTAAAGGATTGATTGATTTATTGTGAAGACCAGCATTGTACGTCAATCCTCCAGCAGCCGGGCATTTTCCAAAAAGAGAGAGAATATGAAATTCAAGCATAAACAGTGGCTTAACCTATGCAGCAAGGAAATGTGATGAAGACTCCCATAGTCCAGTCTGATGTATAATGTTGAAAGGAATGAATAGATGTTTTGTGATGCAAATCATGTGTGTTTTACTTCTTGGCTTGTGCAAAATTGAGTGTTTGAGTAGGATAAAGGAAGACAAAGTGGATAAAGGAGAGACTTGTGCAGGAAAATGGGTTAAATAAAGTGTGAAAAACGTTTACTGCTTTTTGAACTAATTCTGCTAAGATCCAGGGAAGTAATGTATAGTTTTAATGTGAAATACTGTCCATGATCTGAGGAAGCTGATTGACAGTTTGGAAAGAGGAAAGTACAGTTCCTTTTTTGAAATTCTATCTGATAATGGTGGGTTATTTAGCCCAACCCCATGATTCAATCAATAATTGGAAAAAGAAATGGAAAAGTACCTATATAAAAATGTAGCAAAAACTGCTTTAAAAGAGCAAGATCTTGTCTGAGTAACCTTCCTGATATTTTTGGGGAGATAACTGCTGGAGAATGAGGAGGGAAATTCAATTATTTGAACACTGATGAAGCAGTATCCAGTACTTTTTTTATCCACTGTGTACCATATGCAAGCCCTATGGGTTACTGGAGTCCTGATGGATGTGATTCAAACCAGTGCATTGGGGAATTGGATGAAGCCAACCATTGAGCAATCTATTCAAACTGTCTCTAGTCACCAAACACACAAATTGTTCTAGCATTTCATTCATGGTCTTTTCCTGCCAATGCTTAACAATTTCTCCCTTGTTGCTGAGTCTCCACAACAAATAAAATCTGTAGTTAGATTGAGCGCAGTTGCAGATGACATAAAAGTCAACTTGATGATAGTAAAAATGCACTTTACTAGCAATTTGATGAATCCCCTTCATGATCCATGGTGTAAGGTCACCTACTGGAGTAGATTTTCAACTGGGATCCTGCGTGTCAGACTTCAATATGACTGCCCTTTATCAAAATTGCTTAATCTTAATATTTAACTTTTTAAAAATATGTTTAAAAATATGATTCTCTGATGGATGGCCGATCCACAATAGCAGAGTAATAACTGACCCCTAAGTTGAAAATTGACACAAATTTATTTGCTTTAAACATATTACTTCTATTAAGAAATAGTAAGAACTATAGGCGCTGAAGTCAGAGATAACACAGTGTGGAGCTGGAGGAGCGCAGCAGGAGAGGAGCAAGAAAGTTGTCATTTCGGGTCGGGACCCTTCTTCAGAAAAGAAACGTCAACTTTCCTGCTCCTCTGATGCTGCCTGGCCTGCTGTATTCATCCAGCTCTACACTGTTATCTCTTACCTGTATTAAGTACCTGTTGCTATTATGATAGCTTGGGCAAGGATTTACAATTTATACTTGTCTAGATGAGACAACCCTAATCATTATACTCCAGATGTCTCCATGTTTTATTCAACCCCCTCTGTCTTACGTTGGTCGCGCCAAGTTTAACTTAACACAAGAATTCCTCCCCTGATTGCTATCTTTCCCAGTTCCTATGTATTCACATTTTTAAAGGACCCAATTTAACCCTTGGGTTAGGGAAAGATTGCATTCATTACATACTAAAATGTGAGGAAAAATAATACGACACAACCACATAGTTTCGAAATGAGAAGTGACGGGAGGAAAAAAAAAACAGGCAGATAAAAGGTATACAAACCAGTTTTTGACTTGTCCATGAGGCGTAGATGGTGAAACATTGAGGCCTTTAACTTGGGTGCTTCAGGCCACACTGATCCTAGCAGTTGAATAGTTAATCTGGAGATTCTTGGTTCTGCAAGATAGCCAAAGGGAGTTGTCCCGTTTGAGTTTTGACTTGTCTCTGGAAATTAGTGAGAGAGCAGAGACTTTTCCTTTGACCTGTTAGTGCAAGGTTTCCTAGCAGTTGTTCTTCAGCTTTGACCTTTGCAGCATGCACCAGTTCTGTAGAACTCAAACATTAGTCGAGTACACACACACACACACACCAGAATTACAGTCGTTTATTAACCACTTCTCCTGTACGTTCCTAGAATGGGATGGCCAAAATGTCTTTAGCCCAAAACTACTTTCTTTTACCTCACATCATGTCCACAATCTGAGATATAATGCGCAGGAGATGGTTTCTACTGAGGTGGTAATCAGCCTCCTTTATCTCTCGAACCAAAGCAGTATACAGTTCAGCTTTTGTATTGCATTTTTCCCTTTTGAAGTGCCCCTATCAGAAATTCCTTGACATTCTCCAGTCATGACATTCTATGGTCTATCTCTTTCAGGACTGAAAGTAACGTACATATGCATTTTCCAGACAGTCATCACATTACATTCTCAGAGTTTACAGTTTCAGCTACTTTGACTTAGATGTCCCTTTTTTAAATTTATAACTGAAAAATGTGCTCGTTTATAGTTCACTAAGTAATTCAGGGCTATGATACATAGTCCTGACACTGCAAAGATATACTTGTGAATATTGGGTGGAAACAGGATTTGTTTTAGTTGTGAAGTTGTGGTTGAATTACTCAGAGTGATCATCATCCAAGGCTCATATGATAAATATTTATTGGAATTCTAGTGGAACTATGGCACTGGCAAAATCATAGTCCCTCAAACAAGAGCCAGAAGGAGACAATTCATCGATGTACATCGAGAAGAACGAATGCAATTCTGATGGAAATTGCTAAATATTGAATCAAATTAAAAGTAGGTTTCCCATCACTCTTCTACCAGCAAAAATGAATTTTCTTACTTTGAGAGCCTCACTATATTTGAACTGTTATAGTGTTTGATCTTTTGAGATGAAGCAGCTGCATGGAATCAAAAAAAAACTGTATCTATTTCTGTGGCCAGACTGATTAACTCAAGAGTTGAAACCCTTCGGAATATGTTCAGAAACATGTTGAGTTTTATAATTGAATGACTGTGGACCATCCATCCAATGTGTGTAACATTAAAACTGATGATTGTTAACTGCACAGTAACAAACATTTTAACTGTGGCACTCTTCATGTAAATCAGGCTAAATGAAG